AACCACCATTTGACCCAGTTATCCCACTCCTCAGTTTATACCCAGAGGACTTCAAATCAGCATACTACAGTGATGCAGCCACATCAATGTTTATAGCAGCTCAATTCACAATAGCTAAATGATGGAACCAATCTAGGTGTCCTTCAATAGATGAATGGATAAAGAAAATGTGAGATATATATATATATATATATATATATATATATATATATATATATGAATACTACTCAGCTTTAAAGAAAATGAAATTATGGCATTTGTCAGTAAATTGATGGAGTTGTAGAATATCATGCTAAGCAAAATAAGCCACTTCAAAAAAACCAAAGGCTGAATGTTTTCTCTAATATGCAGAAGCTAATTCACAATAAGATGGGGGGCCACTAGAGAAGAATAGTATCACCTTAGATTAGGTAGAGGGAAGTGAAGGGAGGGCAGGGGACGGGATGTAGAAATAGGAAGGATAGCAGAATGAGACAGACTATATATATATATATAGACAGACTACATGACCAATGTGATTCTACAACTGTATACTCAGAAAAATGAGAATTTATATCCCATCTATGTATGATATATCAAAGTGCATAAATGTATTCTAGTGTCATTTATAACTAATTAAAACAAATAAAAATTAAAATAATAATAATAATAAATTTATCCAGAAGAGAATGAATCCCCACTAATGCCTCCCTTTTTTTTCCTCCTTAAACAAAATCTTAGTCAAAATAACACTGACCACTGTTCTCAAGGTCCCTTTGGTCCAAATGGCCTTACTCACTTTTAGTAGACCTCCAGTACTCCAGCAAAGCAGGCTTTGTTTCCTTTTCCTGGGAGGAACTTGCAAATGAAGTTGTTACCTTTGGGGTGGGAATGTTATCTGTACACTTACCACAACAAATTTTATCTCAGGAGAGGGATTGAACAATCAGACATATATAAAAAAAGATACTGTGCCTTAATCTTTTCCCTACCAGGTTGCATTCAAGGGGTTGGAGCACAGGATGTTATTGAGCCTGACCTGCATTCCTTATCATTATCATAATGCCATCAACTTTAAGTGAGTTCCCCCTGTCAACTATATCCAGAAGGTCTTTTTTGACTCTTTTTCTTACACTAAGCATACTGATACTCAGTGGAGGAGGCCCTTTCCATTCCTTTCTTTAGGTTTCCTTAAAGATCCCTTTATATAGGCTGCCAACAAAACATAGTTTGGTCTTTGTTTCTGTTCTTCCCAGGCATTATACATCATAAATGCACAATCAACTAGTTGTGAGGGTTTGTGTCAGTTTTCTCCCTCTGTCCATTGAAAGTCACATTGTCTGTAGAGACTGTTAGGGACCTCTCTATACAGAAATTGTAATGTCCAAGCCAAACTCCAGGCGGCCCATTTTATCTTTGTAGACAACAGGCAGGATTCCATCCAAGGGTATCCCCTGACCAAATGGGTACCCTATTAGGAATTAAAAGGGCAGACCATGTTTGTCCTCAGGTTATAATCTAATAGCACTGGAACCCACTGCTATATCCTTTATATCCTTTATGACTGGCAGCTTTCACCCCCTGAATGAGATAGAAGAGTTAACCACCAGGCACTCAAGGTCCCCATTAAGGCTTTTTTCAAATGTAAAGACCATCCCTAGAGGTTAAACATTCTAGTCAACTCCTTTGTCCCAGAGCAGCAAAGGGAAATGGAAGTGGGGGTAGACCCAAATGCAGGTTACAGAAAAATTCAAATTCAAAGACTAAAAGGGAGTAATCAATTAGAAAGTCATGGGCCAAGCCTTGGTACCTCCCAATGCCTGTATATTTATAGCCTCAATATTTTTTTCAATATCTATTTAGCATTATCCAGAAGCCATAAGACCTGAGACTAGTATACCAAGTAGACAAAGCCCTCTGTACGTTCCCTCTCACATCACAGGATCTCTAACTTCTCTCATTCAAATAAATATTACTCCTTTCATTTTTGTCCTCTGCTAGCATCTGTGGATGAACCCATGAGACAGGAACCCAGAAAGAAATCAATGAAGCTTACAGCCCATATGGACCCCACCCACCAGCAAAAGTGGTGAACTGAGAACCGTTCTCAAAAAGGGGCTGGAAGGCAGGGCCAAGACTGGATCTTCTTTGCCCATTTCTTTATAGCCCAGGAAACCTTCCTGGAACTTTTTTCCCCAGCCCAGGGATGGTATCCCTGGCCCCATAGCAAGATGATTTGCAACTGCATGGGGCCAGGCTGAGAAAGAGTGCTGGGACTCCTGGTACTGAGTTTAAGGAATTTAAATCTTTTCCTTTTTTCATTTACTAATGTATAAAGACATATTTATTAGACCCAAATATATGTTACCTCATAGAATTCAAGGAGCTACGAGTATTTGAATTCATCCTAGCTGATTTTTTTAGTATTTTAATTTTGCAAATTAATCAGATGTCTCTTCTAACAACACATTTATGAAGATTAATGTTAAAACCAATATACCCATTTCTACCCTAGGTTCATGAAAACCAAGGTATCAAATAAGCCTAGTTATTACTTTAAGTCAGTTATTTGTGCCAAAGAAAAATCTTTAGAAGCAATGGAAATTATACTTTAAACGTTTTAAAGAAAACAAGAGTCTGATTTTTGATTGGCAGGTCACCTGGAAAATCATGTGGTTAAAAATTTCAAAAGCACATTTAGTCTTACCAATTTAGATTGACCCTTTTTGTTAAAGTTTTATTTAAGCCACATGAACTGAAAGGCATTTGGATCCATTCATTAAATTTATGAATACTCATTTATCCCCATATTGAAGGTTTCTTATACACCCTGGGTTCTTCATGTGCTCAACTCCCCTTATTCAGTATTTCTTTCACACCTACCATGAGTGTGGTCTTGTGTTTCTGAATATAGATTCTCAGTCACACAAAACTACCAAGGAAGTACTTCTTTCTCAAGAATAAATTTTCCTACATTAGTCTGTGCACAAAGTTACCTGGTTGCCACTGAGCTTTCCCCATGTTGCCAATCCACTTTTGATTTTGGGTCTGTTTTTGGTCTCAAGGATAGCAAGTTTCCTCCCTCATTCTTAAGCCACCACAACAAGGCACAACAAGTTTTGAGGACTCCCTCCTCAAAACCCCTTAGATGACACATAGCCTCATGTTAAGTGCCAAAATTGCTAGAAATACCAGGGTGCCACAAGGAAATCAAATGTGCTCAGAAGTAGCTCAGCAAGGCAAACTTTACTTCTGCAAACATGATGTTACTGAACAAATTCTGGCAAACAAGCACCCTTGGGCAGGCAGTCTGCCCATTCTGTGTTAGGGATAACCCTAACACAGCACTGCCCCTTTCTCTGATAGGAGGAGCTTTTAAGGTCACAATCTATGCAACTGGCTCATTTAAAATTGGGGAAGGCAAAGGGAAGGGCTATAGTTAAAATGGCTACAATTGGATCTTACACCCCAATTAAAGATAAATACTATATTCTGAAAATGGGCCATCAGACTTTCTGTTTCTCACACTCTGAAATCTCATGAGCCCACTCTTTACTTTCCACAGTCAGATAAGCATTCTGGTCTTCTGCGCTTCCATCAGAATCAAACCTTAAGCTCTGCTTACAACATTCTAAAGTTTTTCAAGCTTACATAGCTAAACTTTCCAAAAATTTCTCCCACAAATTCCAAAAATCTCCAAAGGCTTCAGAACCACATGGTCAGGTTAATCACATCAATTACCCCACTTCTCAGTATCAATTTATAAGTTAGTCAACTTTTTCACTGTGACTAAAAGACCTGACAAGAACAATTTTAGAGGAGAAAAATTTTATTTTTGAGTTCACAGTCTCAGAGATCTAGTCCACAAATGTCTAGTTCCATTTGTTGGGGAGTAAGGTGAGACCGAAAATCATGGCAGAAGAGTGTGGTGGAGAAAAGCAGCTCAGGACATGGTACCAGGAAGCAGAGAAAGGGGCTGTCCTCACCAGGACATAAGCCCCAAAGGTACACCCTTAATGAAATACCTCTTCCAACCATACCCTACCTGCCTACAGTTACCACCCAGTTAATCCTCTACCAGAGGATTAATGAACTGAGTAGGTTTAGGCTTTCAAAACCCAATCACTTTACCTCTAAATTTCTTGCATTGTCTCACATGAACGTTTAGGGACACCTCATATTTAAACTGTTAACAGAGGACTACATTAATTAAGATATAGGATACAAGGGAGAGGGTAAATTTAGTTCAAAAAAATTTTTTTGAAAGGGATGTGAGTCACGGAATGATATTTATTGCCTAAGATTAAAACTGTGTTGTTTTATTTTTGTTTCTCCCCTTTGGATGTCTGAGACAGATAAATCCTATAAGTAAAACTGGGATTGGGCTAGAAGACAGAGGATGGTACTACAGTACACCCAACACAGGGAAGGAATTAGTAGGTCAATTGGAGACAATCAAAAAGCAGCCAATACTAGAGAATAAGAATGATCAAATTATGTTATATGCACACCTGAATATGGCATAATGAATCTCATTATTATGTATAATTATAATGTACCAATAAAAATTTTTTAAAGGGGCAGCTATTGGAAGGTAGATAAATAGATAGGTTTTTTCCCAGGAAGAAGTATATAAATAGCCCCCATTACATATGTGTGTCTAAATAAAATGGTCAAGAAAAGTGATCCAAATTCAAATGTTACCCAAGGTGGCAGATGTTTCAGATCTTTGAACTGAGAAGTTCAATGGCTCATGAACTGAGAAGTAGCAATTCAGGACAGTAAGGCCACAATTGTGATAAATAACTTTTTGACAGTGGCTAGAAAGCATACCAGAAATAGAGGCTTTTACTCTCACCAATTTCTAGCATTTTCCCTAGAATATGGCCAGGCAAAATGCTGCTAGCTACTAGAGCTCTTTGTCATGGTCACAGATCAAACTCACTCATACAGAAAGTCATCCAACCCTCATAACCTTTTCCAAGGTAAACAGGAAAGCAATCAAAACATTTTTAGCTTACATGGAAGAATATCTCTGTATCTGTTTTTTTCTCTGTTCAATGGTTCATTCCCATAGTTGAACTCACCAGGTAGATTCTTAAGTTCCAAATCCTTTAAAAGTAAAACAAGAGAAAGTCTTGATTTACTATAACAAAAAAAAAGAAAAAATATCATCTTTGTTTAGTGTTTGTGATCCTTTAACCCTTTTATGATATGACTTGCTATGTAATTCATTATTTAATAAAGCAGATAAATTAGAACCTCATTTAAAAAGTACTCTATATAATATCCTAAGTTGGAGATGCTAACCAATGAGTTCCCTGATAAAAAAAAAGTTACATTTTTTTAATATACTTTCTCCCTGAACTTCATGGTTTTCCTTTTTCATAACCCAAGGAAACATCAAATGTTAATTTCTTAGGGCTTAACCATAAATCTATTATTTCATAAACAAATAAAAAAATATCTGCTCTTAAGATATAAAGTCTTAAAATTTATTTCTTGAAGCTTGGACAATAATTCAAATAGTCTTATTTCAAAAAAATTACTTCACCAAGTGTAAATTCCACAAACATTTATCAAGTATTTAGTATGCTTCTGGCACTGATTTAGATATTGGAATTCAATCATGAAGCAGAAAATGGCTTCAACCTTGAAGAGAGAATATAGTAGGCAGAGAACACATAAATCAAATACATAGGACCAGTATACAGAACCAATAGTATCAATGACAGCATTAGATTTATGCCTGAACTTCTTCATATAACTTGAATTGGTCCTGAGTGAGTCATCAAAAGTCAGCCATATTAAAGTCAGTGAGTGTGTGGAAGCAAAGAAGGATAGTGAAGGGATGTCATTTCAGGTAGAAGCCATGAAGACATATATATCCTCTTGGGGAAAGAATAAAAACCATGGTAACAAGAGCACAGAGCACATGGTCTATGACAGAGGTAGACTAAAAGTAGGAAAAACCTTGTTCTATACACAGTCACTCCTCAGTATCTACTAAAATCAGTTCTGGAAACCCCCATGGATGCACATGGATATCAAAATTTGTGAATTCTCAAGTTCCTTATATAAAACGGTGTAGTGTTTATATATAATCTATGTGCATCATCTCATGTACTTTAAATCATCTGTACATTACTTACACCTAACATAATGTAAATGTCATATAGTTAATATATTGTACTGCTTAAGTAATAATGACAGGAAAAAAGTCTGTACATATTTAGTAGAGATGTACATTTTCTAATACTTTTGATCAGTATTTGGTTGAATACATGAATGAGGAACCCACAGTCAACTATAAAAAAGAAACAGGAATCATGTTTTTATGTACACAAGAATAAGCTTCCATGAAATCCACCATTCTCTATAAATAATATACAATAAAAAATTTAATGAATGATAAAAATATAAGATCTGCCTCATATAACCTAAGAACATATTCTGACTATATTTGTGAGTAGCTATATCCTGGTTTGTGAAATAAACTAAGGATGGCTATCCAAAATCTTGAAAGAAACAAAAACAAAAAAGAAATTGGGAGTTATCAAATCTGACACAATTAGAATATTAGTGGACAAAGTCTGAGACTATACTTTTAATTTTTATGTGATGCTAGGGATCGAACCCAGTGCCTCACACATGCTAGGTAAGTGCTCTACCACCGAGCTACAACTCCAGCCTGACACTATACTTTTTAAAAAGTTCTTCAGTTTGCCAGGCACCGTAGCACATGCCTGTAATCCCAGCAGCTCAGTAGGCTGAGACAGGAGAATTGAGAGTTCAAAGCCAGCCTCAGCAATGGCGAGGCACTAAGCAACTCAGTGAGTCCCTGTCTCTAAATAAAAGGGGCTGGGGATATAGCTTTGTAGTAAAATACCTCTCAGTTCAGTCCCCAGTACCAAAAAAATAAAAAATAAAAGAAAGAAAGAAAGAAAAAAAAAAAAGCCCAATCTTATATCAAAGTCTCTGGAGAGTCTTTAGAGAACTGAAGAGACACACAATGGTAGTCATTATCAAATAACTCAAGGTAAATTCTAGCTTGATTGAAGATTCAAATGCTAAAAAAAATTCAAAAAAGCATTAGAAAAAAGCATGAAGTAATTATTCTGATGTGGGACTGAAAGGGGTTTTGCTAAAGAACATGAAAAGTCAGAAGCCCTAAGATTAACATATTGAGTATTAATAGCTTATTAAAAATGAGCTCTTTCTTCATGATAAATAGGTGTATGTGCACTTATATAACATGAACAGCAGAGATTATTAACATAGGTAATACACACATGGAGATAATTTCTTCATTATATAAAGAATTGTTAAAGAATAAATAGGCAGGACACAGTGGCACATGCCTGTAATTCCAGTTGCTCAGGAAGTTGAGGCAGGAGGATCACAAGTGCAGAGCCAGCCTCAGCAACTTAGCAAGACTGTCTCAAAATAAAAAATAAAAAGGGCTGGGGTTATGGCTTAGTGGTTAAGAAACTATGGGTTCAATTTCTGGCACTAAAAACAATGAAAATTTTGGCAAATAATTGGAAGTAGCAGTTCATTGAAAATGAACACAAAATGTTCAAAAACATATGGAAAGATAGATACTCCTTTGTTACTAAATAAAGGAAAGACATTTATATCATGAACAAAAAATCATTTGTCATTTAGATATGGGCAAAGAATTAACCCTTTGATAACCCAAAATACAGATTGTCTTTCTAAAAATGACACATATACACAGGTATATGAAGAAGGACGATTGCTGTTTATAACAGCAAAGCCAAGAACAATCTGCCTTGCTCTTGGATAGGCAGAATTAATATTATCAAAATGACCATACTACCAAAAGCACTATACAGATTTAATACAAATCCGATCATTGCATTAATGATATGGCATTCCTCATAGAGATAGAAAAAGCAATCATGAAATTCATCTGGAAAAATAAGAGGTCCAGATTAGCTAAAGCAATCCTTAGCAGGAAGAGTGAAGCAGGTACCATCACTACACGAGACCTTAAACTGTACTACAGAGCAATAGTAAAAAAACAGCATGGTATTGGTACCAAAACAGACCGGTAGACCAATGGTACAGAACAGAGGACACAGAGATTAATCCACAAAACTACAATTATCTTATATTTGACAAAGGTGCCTAAAATATGCAATAGAGAAAAGATAGCCTCTTCAACAAATAGTGCTGGGAAAACTGGAAATCCATATGCAACAAAATGAAATTAAACCCCTATCTCTCACCATGCACAAAACTCAACTCAAAGTGGATCAAGGACCTAGGAATTAAACCAGAGACTCTGTATCTAATAGAAGAAAAAGTAGGCCCTAATCTTCATCATGTGGGATTAGGCCCCAACTTCCTTAATAAGACTCCTAGAGTTTAATAATTAAAACCAAGAATCAATAAATAGGATGGATTCAAACTAAAAAGTTTCTTCTCAGCAAAAGAAATAATCTGTGAGGTGAACAGAGAGCCTACATCCTGGAAGCAAATTTTTACCCCTCACACATCAGATAGAGGACTAATCTCTAGGATATATAAAGAACTCAAAAAGCTAAGCAACTAAAAATACAAATAACCCAATCAATAAACGGGCCAGGGACCTAAACAGACACTTCTCAGAAATGAATATACAGGGCTAGGGATGTGGCTCAAGCAGGAGCACGCTCGCCTGGCATGCGCGCAGTGCTGGGTTCGATCCTCAGCACCACATACAAATACAGATGTTGTGTCCACTGAAAACTAAAATAAATAAATATTTTTTAAAAAAAGAAACGAATATACAATCCAACAAGAAATATATGAAACAATGTTCATCATCTCTAGCAATTAGAGAAATGCAAATCAAAACTACTCTAATATATCATCTCACTCCAGTCAGAATGGCAGCGATTATGAAGACAAACAACAATAAGTGTTGGCAAGGATGTGGGGAAAAAGGTACACTCCTACATTGCTGGTGGGACTGCAAATTGGTACAGCCATTATGGAAAGCAGTATGGAGATTCCTTGAAAATCTGGAAAAGGAACCACCATCTGACCCGGCTATCCCTCTCCTGTTACTATACTCAAAGGACTTAAAAACAGCATACTACAGGGACACAGCCACATCAATGTTTATAGCAGCACAATTCACAATAGTTAAACTGTGAAGCCAACCTAGATGCCCTTCAGTGGATGAATGGATACAAAAAATGTGGCATATATACACAATGGAATTTTACTCAGCAATAAAAGAGAATAAAATCATGGCATTTGCAGGTAAATGGATGGCATTGGAGAAGATAATGCTAAGTGAAATTAGCCATTACCCCCCAAAAAATGCTGAATATTTTCTCTGTAAAAAGGAGACTGACTCATAGTGGGGTAGGGAGGGGGAGCATGGGAGGAATAGATAAATTCTAGATAGGCGGAGGGGTGGGAGGGAAAGGGAGGGGGCAGGGGATTAGCAATGATGGTGGAATGTGATAGACATCATTATCCAAAGTACATGTATTAAGACACGAATTGGTGTCAACATACTTTATATACAACCAGAGATATGAAAAATTGTGCTGTATACATGTACTAAGAATTGTAATGCATTCCGCTGTCATTTATTTTTTTAAATCAATTTAAAAAAACGAACTAACATATTAAAATAAATAAATAAATAAATGCCCAACATATGAAACTTTGTAAAGAAAATAAGATATTTATCCATATCATTAACTGCCATGCAATACTTAAAAGATAAGCTATATATGCATATATATATATATATATATGCTTATATATATGTATATATATGTGTGTATATATATGTGTATATATATATGCATATATATATATGCTTATATATATGTATGTGTGTGTGTGTGTATATATATATATATATATATATATATGTCTGAAAATTTTGTTTTATGGAAAAAAAATTAAAGGCTGGTATCATGAATAAAGTACATGCCAAAAAATTTTCTGAAAGTTTACATGACAATCTTAATAGTAGAAGAGGGCCCTAGGTAATTGATAGAGACACAGAGGCAGCAAAACTTTCTACATATTTTATACTCTTTTATGCTATTTGACATTTTTTACCATGTACATATATTACTTTTTAAAATGTAGTATTTAAAAATAAAAACAATGTACTCTACTCAATTAAAAAAAAGGCAAAAGAAAAGTAAAGAAAAATCTCTGGTTATAATACAAAAAAATATTATACACAGACTTTTGTTAAGAAAAAAATATTTACCATAAATTCCTGAGTGGTACCATTTTCTGCTACTTTATTTGCAAGCATTTTCAAACAATTCTTGATGGCTAATCGTTCATTAAAATTGAATATCAGTGGTTGAATTTGAGCCAACTGAGCTAGCTCTTCTTCAGAAACAATGTCTGTTGTATCTAAAAAAGGAAAAATTTCACATTTGTAAGTTCCTTATATGTGTATCAAGGGAAGTTCACATTTAAGTTCCTTATATGTGTATGAAGGGAAAATTAATTTCCATTGAAATTAAGGGTCAATGGAAATTAATTCTTCCAAAAGGCAAAGGGTCTATCGCCTTGAAAGAGACTACCTTTGTTTTGAAAAAAACATGCTATGTATCTTGAAATTACACAAAATTCCTTTTTCTTGGAGAAAACCATTCAGTTGTAAATATAACAGAAAGCATTCTGTTTTACAATGTGAATTGGGTATAGGATTGATAATTATGTCAAGGAAAGAATATATAAGACTTTGGATTAATAAAAAAAAATAATGTTTTGCCTTCCTGGAACCAAGTATTTAGAAGTTCTTTGAGTCTGAGATGAGAAGATATGGAGAGTCCAACACATGTCATATTCTACTAAAACAGATCTAACATTCACACACACACACACACACACACACACACACACACACACACACACACTCCCCTTCAAGGATAGTCAAGATCTATACTATGCAATTAACAAGACTAAATGATAGATATATATTAATGCTTTTAACCAATGATAAGTGAATACATTCTATTAAATAACACATGCGGAATTTTTGTTTCATGATGATCTTTTAGGTCACATTGGTAATCTAGGCTCCAAATATCTGAAATCTTACACAGCGTATCCCCAGGTCAAAATGCAGTAATCCAGAAACCAATAATAAAATAATGTCTTAAAAAGTTTCAGAATTTTGAGGTAAAATATTTACATGAATCCAGTTCTCAAAAATTTCTTTCCAATGACAAATAATATGAGCCAAAAATATCACGTTAACATCAGCAAAAATATACAACAACAATTAATAAACAAAGAAAAGGGTATCCGTATTTATAAGAATCTGCACAGCACCAGGCATCTCATCTTGTCTTACAACCACACTATATCCAGAAGCCCTTTGTAAGGATAGGATAAGAACTGTTGGCTGGGACCAATAGTCACAAAAATTCTAAATCCTCATAAATATTTCTAGCCTTAGTATGAGACAAATTCTAAGCAGTCCACAAGGGAAGATTAAATTCATAAAATTACCACAAGAGTAGAAGCTATTTCAATCATCTTTGAGCCCCCCAAACCAAAATAAAACAAAACCCTTAAAGCTTCCCAAAGGGTTCCAGTTTTGCTGGGGAAAAAAAGAACTGAGAGAAATTCACAAAGAAAGGAGGAGGTAGGACACTGCTGTCAACTCCCCAACACTGATTCTACCCTGATTGTTAGCTAAAGCCACTCATGTTTATTCCACACTAACATGCTTGTCAGTAAATAATTCAGAAATAGGCATGTAGTGATTTGGGCAAGGACAAGCAAGGAGAAGTTTATTCAGGTCTTATAAGTAAGAAAAGTAAGGCTATCTCCCACCCCATCCTACTGTCCAGACATAAAGAAGCATAAGGTCCTAATTATCACAGATAATCCTCAGGAAACCATAAAAAAAGAGTTGCATAAAGCAGAAATGAAAAATGTAAAAAGAATCATGTTCTGAATGATATCACTATGTAGCTAATCATATCAAACCTGGAATCCTTTCAACCTTTGGACTTGAAATGTATTTAATCATTAACATCATTTTAAATTTTATTTCTTTTTCTTGCAGTCTGGTCCAAGAATTTCTATCAAAGTATATAGGTCATGCTTTGGCTATAAATAATGTCAATCATTCCAGTCAGCTTATAGAAAGGGACTTGACTTAGGTATTTGGTGCTGGCATCATAGTTGAGTATACTTGAAGAACAGGTGCTTTCCTCAGTATGATTCAAGAATACCATAGAGTGACCTGCCAAGAGAAGTGCTGTCTTTGCCACAATGATAAACTGAAGAAGATGGAGACCAGTATTCTAACTACTAGTTCCCAGATAATGCCACCTAAGCAACAGTGAAGGAATTATAAAGTCATTACCAAAACTGTTGGCTCTAGTAATATATCACCTGAACTATAATAAGGACCAGGAGTTCCATGCCTTCTGTCGGGTGAATGACTCATTGAACATTTATGTCTTGATTGAGTAAATATAATAAGTCAAGCCAATCACAATGAATACGAGGAAGTCTTGGAAATATAATTTTGTTTTCCTCCCTAGGTCATAGGGAGGTACACCAGGAGAAGAATATGATCAGTGCTGAGAAAGATGTCTTTATATCAGCCATATATTGTTTTTTCCATACTCTTTCAGATTTCTGTTCATTCTCCTTATCCAATCAGAATACTTGGCATTATTCTCAAGCAAAATGCAGACTTTAAAATAAAGTATAGTTTGCAGTGAATGATAATAAGATTCAAATAAAATAGAATGGAAATCAAGAAGAACTCATTCATGCTTAATCAGTAAGAGACATCTAGAGCTATATATGTTCATGGACAAGGTGGAAATTAAAATGGAGAAGAAAATTAGTAATGCAATACAGCACACAAAATTTTTAAAAAATCTATTCTGAAATGGAAGATAATCAAATAAATAAAATGCATCACATATGCATCAGCTATAGAAAGAACTAATAAGAAAATGAATTAGGGTTCAGAACATGGCCGCAGGTGAGGAGGTAGCACTCCCATAACCTACTCTGCTACGATGGCATTCAGCGACTTCAGAACGACTGGATGCTGTCTGGTCAGGAACATCCAGCAAAGTTGGGCTGAGGTGAAACCTAAGGGAGGAGTTTGAGCTTCTCAAAGGCTGCAGCATGCTCGGACGTGGGTGAATCCAGGCCACTTTGCACATGGAGGTACTGGCTGGTTGACCCACCACCCGCCACAGTCGGAGGCAACTCAGCGCTATGGAGACCTGCGAGTGGCATAGAGAAACGAAACTTCGGATCCTGTGAGGAGATGCCAACCGAGCCTCCATGGGCCAGCGGACCAAGATCTGAGGTTGGGACTTAGGAGAGACAGACCAGACCCACCCTTCCCATTGGACATCCTGGCAAGGAGACAGGCATCCACCATGGCAGAGAACTGACGTCATCAGAGTTCGGCGGATGGGATCGCTTCCCAGCAAAATCGGTGACAACAGGGATGTGACCCTTAGCATACCATATCCATACAGCTGGGAAAACTCAAAAATCTTTCCCAGCTCTCCCTGATAGTGATTATTGGAGCCAAGGGAAACAGGAGGGGCACCTGACCTCCAACTCCCCCTCCCACCAGCAGCGACAGCCGAGGCCTTTCTAGCCATCTCTCCAAGGCATGGTTAACGGAGGGAATCAGGCAAAATAAGCTGACGACCCCCAGCTCCCATGCTCCACAACCTTGGGGTCTGGGTGAATGGCAAACAGAGAGAGTGCCCAGTCGTTCAAGAGGACAGGACATCCAGGGGGCAGCAGGCCTGGAGTGTAGCTAGATCTGTGGAGAACAGCACCAGTGAGTGGGGCCTGGCTGGCAGGAGAAGGGGGCGGGGGCTGGAGACCAGGAGCAGCCCTGGGCGACCAGGATTGGAGAGCCGCCCAGCTGGGGAAGAGGAGCTGCCTCACAGGGATTGTTTCCTTCGTCTTGAGGGCAGAAGCTTGGCCTGGAGGGCACAGCTTCACCTACTGGAAGAGAAGATAATAGAACTCTAAGTGCATTTTTCTTTTTTTTTTAATTTTTATTTTTCCCTTTTCTTTTATTCTACCTATTTTTCTTCTCTTTCTCGTTAGTGACTTCTTCCTTCCCCTTCCCCTACTTTTCCTCCCAAGCATTACGACTTCTATTATGTGTTACTTACTAAATGCAAATTGATGAATGTTCTGAGGCTATTTATAGTGTTACCAAGTCCCTAGCTACTCCCATATACTCCAGTCCATTATTAGAGTATTACCAGTAGAGTAGATCAAGTAAAATTCAGAACATCAGACAATGAAGACAAAATATATCATCTCGAAAGGAGTCTAGTCAACTCAGAAAGGCTGGTAAGAAACCATGAGAAAAATATCCAGGAGATTTGGGATATCATAAAAAACCAAACTTAAGAGTCATTGGGTTAGAGGAAGGTATAGAGGTCCAAATCAAAGGAATGAGCAACTGTTAAATGAAATAATTTTAGAAAACTTTCCAGACATGAAAAATGAAATGGATGTCCAAATCCTACAAGCCTACAGGACGCCAAACTTACAGAATCACAATAGACCAACTCCAAGACACATTATTACGAAGATATCCAACATACAGAACAAGGAGAGAATATTAAAAGCTATAAGACAAAGGAGGCAGATTACATTCAAGAGTAAACCAATTAGGTTAACGTCCGATTTTTCATCACAGACACTGAGAGCGAGAAGATCCTAGAACAATGTATTTCAAACGCTGAAAGATAATGGGAGCCAACCAAGAATATTGTATCCAGCAAAATTAAGCTTCAGGTTTGACAACAAAATAAAAATCTTTCACTATAAACAAAAGTCAAAAGAATTTGCAGCCAGAAAACCAGCACTGCAAAGCATTTTGGGCAAAGCACTACACGAAGAGGAAATGAAAAACAACAACCAAAACCAAAAGTGGGAAGTACCTCAGTAAAGTGGGGGAGGAAACTAATCAAAGAGGGAAAAACAAACCAAATTAAAAATAAATAAATAAATAAACAAACAAACATGACCGGAAGTACAAACCATATATAAATAGTAACCCTAAACATTAATGGCTTAAACTCACCAATTAAGCGACATAGGCTGGTAACCTGGATTAAAAAAAAAGATCTAACAATATGCTCCATTCAGGAGACTCATCTGATAGGAAAAGACATACACAAGCTGAAGGTGAAAGGTTGGGAAAAATCATACCACTCACATGATCCTCGGAAGCAAGCAGGAGTGGCCATACTCATATCAAATAAAATCGACTTCAAGCCTAAGTTAATCAAAAGGGATAAAGAAGGACACTATATACTGTTAAAGGGAACCATTCACAAATAAGACATAACAATTATCAATATTTATGCCCCAAACAATGGTGCTGC